CTGAGGGTGATGATGCCAAGGTGGAGGGAAAGGACGCAAAGCGTGCCAAAGTTGTGGAGCCAAGTGCAGGGTCAGACTTAGAGAACTTGAAGAAGTCCATCAAGGAGTACATCCGGGTCTTCCCTCGCTCTGCTGTTGTGCCCTATTGGACCAGACCGGCAGTGGGCTTGAAAGTCCGCAAGATGGATGGCCCTGGTATGACGCAGGCCAGGTAGGTTGTAAAGTTTCCACATTCATGCATGGACTCCCTTTACTGTTTGGCAGGCATTCTACTTGAAGTGCACCTACACCTCCCTTTGGGCAGCTGTGGAGGGAATCCATGAGATTGCTACTAGCCTGTATTATATACTGTTGATTCACATCATCCCTCTTTTGCATACATTGGCATGAGGCTGACTTGGTGGAGAGTGCCAAGGGCGACTTCAAGTCGCCACAGGTCTCCGCGCGCTGGCGAGAGGTCAAGCATCGAGTGCTGATGGGGAATTGATAGACTTTTGACTACAAAGGTCGAAGATTTGTTGAAAGCAACAAGTGTTTTCTGGAAAGCGAGCCGTTTAGAAGTGAGCCATCGAAAGTGTTGTGCAGTTTCAGGTTTGTGTTTTTGGTGTATTATGATATAGTTTCTTGTTAGTATATTATATAATGTCTTCGGGGGTTGCTGACCTTTGCTTCAGCAGTGAATTGTGAAGCTTTTGCAGTGATCCAAGCTGATCACTAGCTCGTGAGCATTTGTCAGTGCTAGGTCAATCTAGCAATTTGTGTGCTATGCCGTATGCCTTTCATGGCGTGCTTTTCGGATCTGCTCTGGGGAAAACAACAGGCTTCTGTATGCAATGTAGCGTGGCACCACCAGGGATTGAACACTATGCAAGTTGCCTCTGCTTCCTGGTCCATATAAACTAACCTGGACCAAGCCTGTCCACCATCCTCCAATTCGATCACCTGCTTGAACTGTCTTAGGCTGGCTTCTTTGTGAAGTATGGCCTGAGGGAAGACCGCAGACTATCTGCCATGTTTTGTTGAGTCAGTTGGAAAACTGTTGCTGAGAGTTTGAAGTCTCTGTGCACTAGCTGACTGAACCTGTGCATGCTTTTGTGTGCAGGAGTTTTGGAAGGGTAGAGTCGTAGGGGTGTAGAGCCATGGTGCGCCCATGTCCAGAGTCGAACCGTATCCTATGGAATTTGATGGCCCTGCGAAGCCCCAAAGCCCCTATGCATGGTCTCAATTTAGTTTTTTTCTTACAATCTATCAGGCATCGAGAAAGGTGCAAACACTTTAGCTGCGAGGTGTTTGCAATACATGCATACGGTTCATTCCCGCCAAGCCCCAACATAATCCAACATGGGGTTTCTTTGCTCAGGTTCTGATCACCTGCTGTCTCCTCCTGTCTTGGCTGCAGCCGGGATGCCAGCGAGAGCAGTGGAGCGTTGTGGACCTTTTTGCGGGGGAGGGGCGAGTGGCCCGGTTGGCTCGGGTAGATGGCCGAGCTGCAGTGGCCATGGATCTAAGCTACACTCCCTGTGAATGTTTTGACATCAACAGTTCCTGTGGTTTTGTGTCACTGGTCCAAAGCTGAATTTTGTTTATATTGAGGTTCTGAAGCGTGAAGGTGTTTGGGAGCATTGTTGAACACTTGGACACTTCAACGATAGGGGAATGACATGTTTTTGTTCATTTGCAGTAGTATTCTGTTATCTCACATATTTTGGTCACCAAGGTTGGCTTTGAAGGCTATACTCGAAGGAAATTACGGTGAGCTCCTCGTGACTATGGGTGTATGTTGCAGTTCATGGGTGGTTGCCAGTAGAGGATCGAGTAAGAGAAGTTTTTTGACACCAATGGGATGCGCTACCTACAAAACAGTGGCTGAAGCAAACAAAATGGTGAGTAGGTCTCTTGGCTTGGCAACCGCAATTTGTGGCACATGTTTTGATGTATTGGTCAAGCACCGGTCTATAGCTTCAAACCACCTTATTGGAATTTTGGTGCCATCCCTGGGTCCAATTTCGTGAGGTGCGTTCTTCTTCTCTTGGTGGTCTTGGCCATGGAAGGGGTTTACATAATTGAACAACCTTCTTCATCGCTCTTGCTACTACATGAGCGCATGGTTTGGTTTGTAGACTTGATGGAGGAGCTGGGCATGAAGGACCCTTGCCTGTGACTAGTGCATGTTTAATTTACTCCTTGGAGTCCTCCAAGGTTCAATGAAACATGACAAGTGGGTCCTTCTTTGACTGTTTGTCAACAGCCTTCCCTTTTCTGCCCTTACATTGTTGGGTTCTTTCCACTGCCCGCCCAGATGTTCCGGCAGACATTTTGGATGAGAGCTCTTGGTCATCCTACACCAAAGAGATCGATTGTGCTATCGAACTCAACTTGGATTTCAGAACTATCCTTCGCTTCCAGGATGCGAGCGGCCAAGTTGAAGTCTGAGCTGAAAACCACTGACAAATACACTAGTAAAGCAGGTGTCAAGAGATTCAAAGGCAACAAGAACTTAAAGGGAACACAGCTCTTCGCCTTAATTATGAAGTGTTTGTTTTTGTATTTACTACCCAAGACCCAAGTATGGACACCCTGACTATGGCTCCCCTCACTTGCAATTCTGGGTAGTGGACTTTCTGAAGGGGTATTTGTTTATCCAAAGTTGGTCTGCCACAATCTGTGTGGGGGGGGTCCAAAGTCCATCCCTGCCAAGCTCCCAGGCTTTACACTTGGAAGTTCGCTCGATATTTGCTGCAGATCCAGGACCTGGCACGGTATGAGAAGCGGAACCCAGTACCACATGTGCCCTAGCTTGTAGAAGTCGAACAGATGCATGGGTGTGCCTAACCCATAGCTTGCGCAAGTCAAATGGAGTTCATTGTAATGAAATCACGTCTCATGACTGGATGGTATTGGAAGGCTCCTTCCATTCAACCCCATAACATGCTCATGTGGGGCCATGTCTTGGGCTTGAAGCTGCATGCTCCAAATGAGGTGGACCCCCATGACTTCAAAAAGACCTACAAGGCTTTGAACTGGGGTGACCGCTGGTGCGATGCCGGCATGCCAGAGGTAGTTGCCTACTTGAGAGGATCCAAGCTCCTGGAAATTCCCAGGGATTGGAGGGAATGCCTGCCTGCAGAGTTGTAATGAAAAGGATAGTCCAATAGATGTATAATATGTACGCTGGACTTTTTTAGATCCTTTTGTACTTTTTTTGTTTTGCATCTTTGGATGGGCGTCCGAAAGGACGGAAAATGCCGTCCAAAGGACGGAAAAGGGCGTCCGGTCCGGACCCGTCCGAAGGGTTTGTACTTTTTATGGAGGTTGTGTACTTTTTTGGGGGTCCGGTCGTCCGTCCGCATGGCCGTCCAGCCGTCCGCCCGTCCGTCCGGCTGCCTGACCGTCCGTTCAACGTGGGACTCTACTATTACTCACCCCAACTGGATTCCTTCGAGGCTCTGGGTACTCCCTTGGACCATGTTGTGGAAAAAAGTCAAATCAACAGTTTAATCCATGGTGACTGTCACAAATCGCAGTTTTGGGTTCAGCTCAGCAGGCAGTGTCCCAGCATTGAAACTGCTATGGCCAAACGAATACGAACGCTAGCGTCTTTGCTGTGGGAGTCGGATGTGGAGGATTGTGTTGATAGATGTTCATCACAAAAGCCTGATGATGGCACTACAGCGAGACTACGGATGTTGGAGACAGAGAATTCCAACCTTAGGGCCCAGTTGTACCAGCTGCAACGTGAGAATGCTCTCCTTAGGATGCCGAAGCCCACTCCGCCCTTAGTGCCTGGAGCGAAGCCATCAGTGGTGGAGCTTCTTCAAACCTGGCCAGATCAAGCTTGGATCCAAGCTGTGGGGGACAGTGTGGTTGGCTTGCCACGCCTTCGGGAGGAGATATTGCCACAGCTTCATGGGACCAATAACGGCAAAGGGTGTATCTTATTCCACCTGTGCAAGAATCCCAAAGCGAAAGCTAGTGCAATTTTACAACATGCTCTGAACAGTGTGCTGGATCTATCAAAGAAGCACCCAGCTGTGTTCAAGATTGGCATTACTTCCAACCCCATTGAAAGATGGACACATTCCAAGTATGGATATGCTCTGGACAAGCGAGAAAACTGGCTGGGCATGAAGGTCATAGCTGTGTTCGACACATCAGCCCTTGCAGCTATGGTGGAGAGTTTCCTAATTCACAAATTCGTGAACACCCCGGGGTGCCGAAATGCAGCCGCAGGTGGTGAAACGGCATCACCTGTAGAGGGGCCTCATTTCACGTACATTGTCTACAAGATTTTGCTGCCCCCATTCCGTGTGGTGTCTTTTGCAAAACCTTAATCAAGAACCTATGGACTTTGAGAAGTGTGAATTCCACACACTCTGACCTGATCACTGCGAAAAAAAAAACAGCAACTCTAAATAACTCTAATGCTGACTTGAAACTGTTTGTAGAGTTTCCAGCAAGCTGCTTTTCATGTTACCCTGTTCTTTGATTACGAAGGTGTGTTTAGCCTTTGTTTGATCTTTGTTTGTGTGCTTTGCCACTGCCCCCATGTCGGCCGAGCCTACCAAACTGCCTTCGAAGCAGTTCAGCAGTGCCAGCCTGGGTCGTGGGAGCGCTCAACTGAACAGCCAACAGGTCAAGTGTGAGATGACTGAGGAAGAAATGCAGATGGAACTAGAGGATGGTGTTTTTGGTGTTAGGGCTCAAACAATGTTTCTGTAAATATTGGGTGTTGAAAGCGGGGAATGGGACCCATGGTTTCTTTCTAATTCTAGGTAAACTCCCTGGAGGAGTTACAGCGTCAACGTGCCATGTATGAGAAGACAGAGGGCGTGCCCTGTGCCATTGTGCACCCTTCGACTACTACCCCCGGAAAGATTCAAAAGAGGACGCGTGTGGATCCGGAGGTAAGGCCTCAGAAATTGGACTTCACAATTGAGTCTCCTTGCGAGACTCCGCCAATTGCTGAAGCTTCTGCTCAACCAGGTGCTAGTGGTGGGATGACAGGTGAAACCCCGGATGAATTGTCTTGGCTGAGGGATGAAAATGCTAAGCTAATTCAGGAGAAGGCTGAGCTAGAAGCGAAGGTGATGGAATTGGAGGAAAGAATGCTTCAGGTTCACAGTGCTGAGACCCTGCCTGGTCTGCTGGGGAACCAGGCGGATGAGGACATGTGCAATGATGAGGCTGCTCGCAAAAGGCTCGCTCGCCTTTGCAAACCGAGGGCTGATGGGAGTCTAGACTAGCAATCTGGTATGGCTTTATGTCTCGATCCACACTTGGTGCCCCCAAAGGTTCAATACCGTGGCCCTTGCAATGATACCAATAAAGCGAATAGCAAGGTCTTTTTTACAAAGTGTTCAAACAATATGTCATGAGACCATATCAATAGTTCCTATTATATAAGGCGCCACATTTCCTAATGCCCCATACCTGTGTCTCGAGGTATTGAAAACGAACCTGGCAGCATTGTTCTTGCAATTGCTTCCATCCCACTTGAGGAGTCTATGTGTGCCACAGGAAATATATGAGGAATGGCGAAAGGGTGGCGCTTCACGCGCTCGACTTCAAGAACTATTTGCATCAATGAACTGCAATCGGGTCAGGGTGTCTAAAGCTTATAGTCATATCCAACTATAGGGAAGCCACCTGATTGTCAAAATATGTTTTATGTTTATAACACTTTATGTTTGATTGGTGGACCATTCTTTGCCCCTTTGCCCTTCCAGGAGCAGTTCTTGAAACACGTGACCTTGGAGGTGGAAAAGCGTCAGTCTGTCAAGATGAGAGTCAAAGCGCAGTGGGCTAGTGAAGACAAGATGAGGGATGTCCTTAAGTTGAAAGAGTTCCTTTCCTTTCAATTAAGACCAGCCATGAAAACACAATGAGTGTGTCCAATGAGTTGGCTCTATGGCTTTGTTGGAATATATTCCAAGTGTTCACTATCCAAGGCCCAGGATCAAAGCGATCAAAGAGTTCTGTGAGAAGAACGCCAACCACATCAAGTGGCTTGGACCGACCTCTTTATCTCTCTCTCTCTCTCTTCTTTCTCTCTCTGTGTGTATCTTTATCTGTGTTTCTTTTTGACATAGTGCTTCAAAAACTTGTGGGCTGGTCTGGCCTAGGTGGGACAAGTACGAATCCAAGAACCTTTACTGGTTTGAAGAGGAAATGGAAGCTGAATGGGAATCCAGCAAATCCAGAGTAACCACCGAATCTTCACAGTTTGTTGTGGAGACTTCTGCTGAAGATGCATTGGAGAACCCTGATGTCACGCTTGACATGGCAGAACTTCGCAGCTCGGGAGGCCAGCTGTATTTCCTGATGTATGCCACTGTGTTCAAATATCAAAAGCTTTGGTCCATGAATAAACTAAGATGGCTATAGAAAACAAAGTCCTTGAGGTGAAGAATGTGAATGCATCAATGCCCCAAAATCATTCATTTGTGGGGGCCTCACAACACCCGGGCTATTTGTTTGGGCGCCGCACGTGGTGAAGCTTTTGGCCAGTCACCTGATAATGTAGTGGGATGTCAATTTGCAAAGAACAACAGATTTCTAGAGGGTGGAGCTGGGATATGTCTGCTTTGACAGGCATGCATGGAAGCGGTTCTGGAGAAGTTGCAGCAGGGGGACCGCCTCCTCAGGCGTCCGTGTTACCGCAGGTGCATAAGAATGAGAAGCCCTCTTTGGTGGTGCTCAAGTACCTTGATGGTATCACCAAGAGAGTTTCCAAGATCAGTGACGCATGACTTGATTGGAGTATTTGACAAGAATCTTCAGTATACCGGTGGATTGCAAGCAATTAGAAACCTATTCATTCTTCGTGCCTAGGAGCTCAAGAACAAGTATGAAGCGATCGAACCTGAGAATCGGACCAACACCCACACGGCGTTGCTTAGCAGAAGCAACAGTAGAAAATTGCATTCTATGGTAAAGGTTTGCTTTTTTCATTGCATTTGAAGCTTCGTTTGAGGTTCATGACCAAGCTGGGAGGTTTGGTTACGGCTTTGGAGAAGGGGCACGAGGCGATCAATCAGATCTATGGGGCTGGTGCGGTCGAAGGGTACTCCTCAGAGTACCTTGCCAAAAAGGGATCAGTGGCACATGATTTGAGAGGATTAGATTTCTTGATGCGGGCCGAGGCAAGAAACCAAACTCCTTGAGCTCTACAAGGATGCCATGAGAACGTGGGGCCCTAAATACTTCTTCTGTCAGACCCAACGAGACTTGAAATAAACAATTGATACAAACTCAACATATCCTAGAAGAGTGATTGGTGACTCTAACTTTACATGAACCCATCCCAACATTGTGACTTCTTCGGTCTTCGGTGACTAAGGTCCCAGGAATCTCTGGCAATGGAGCAGCGGTCCCGAGCGATTCCGGTCCCCAAGCCTAAGGGCAAGGCTGCAGCGAAGCCAAAGGCTGCTGTGAAAGCCAAAGCGAAGGCTGCTAGTGCAAAGGCTCCTGCTGCCCCAAAGGCAGTGCCAAAGCGCGCATCCCGTAACAGCAACTAGGGGTCATATACTCATGAGAGCTGCTACAGCAGAGCTTGGAAATTCACTTGGGATGTTCCAGAATGAGTCAAACATGTGGAGTTCACTTTTGGGTGCCCAATGTGTCTTGCTGAACATGTGCAGCTGGATGAGTATTGGGGGGTAGCTTTGAACACGATGTGCATAAAAACATCGTGGGTGATTTTCCGCTGAGCTACAGATTTTGGACTATAGTGTTTGCTGATTGTCAGCGAATGTCCTGCCTCGATGTTACTTTTTGTTACACCAATCACGATGTTGAACCACAGCTGTTGAGAGAATACACGATGTTGAACCAAACATGACTGTCCAATGTCTTTCAAAAGCAAACAACACCAAAAAAAGAGCTGCTGTCAGAAGGAAGGCACTAAGGAAGGCAGGCATTTCGTTAGTTGAGTCTTGATATGTCTTGATAGGCAGCTGACCTATCAAAAAAAATGCAATTATATCACCAAGAGTCCATGGAAATGATTCAAATTACAATCTTCAACTGTGTCAACTATGAAAACTCCCTCAACCATCAAACATGTGAGATGGTTGATACATCTTGCCAGGTGAACGATCAGTGCCGGGCGTCATGCTGAAGAACTTGGCGCTCAGTTTAGCCGATGGAGCCACTTTGATAAAACACCAGTTTCACCGAGTTACCCCAATAGACATGGTACCTGCCACACATTTGTGTGATTAGAGGGCCCCTATAACATACTTTAGGGACTTCCTTGAACATGTGGAAACGACGGCCTTCAACCCTTCAGTCTGCCCAGGCCCCTGCAACACGCCTGAAGCGCCTAGCTCAAAGTGCGATTGAAGAGGCTCAGCAAGGCGGAGCCTCGAACATTCCAGCGGCTCTTAGGAAGGCTGGACAGGTGACTGAAGACAACTTGCAAAATGCTGAGCGGGACCTTCACCGTCTATTCCAGAAAGAGGGTTTGGCACTGCCACTGGGACTCAATGTGTATCGTTTTGGCCTCCTCCATTTGCACTATATCTCTCTGAAGACCTGGTATACATTCCTCCTCAAGTCCCACTCGCGCTTGCTGTTTGGTGGCTTTGAAGTGGGGGACCCCCGAGTTGAATTGCTTTTGGAATCCTTCTGGGACAAGTATGCCCTGGCCCATCGAGACCACTGGGTGTTTGATGCTATGGGGGATCGGCTGAAAAGATGTGTACCATTTCACTTACATCTGGACGAAGGCACCGGACTTCGAAAGAGAGCTGTCCTGGTCTTTAACTTCCAAGCGTTGTTTGGTCAGGAGACCATCAAAAACTTTGAAGATATTTTTTCAAGTCACCCTGGACGGTCTGACTCAGACATGAAGTCTTACATGGTGGAAGCCCAAACGCACAACCAAAGAGGCTCTTCGATATTGTCGCGATTCCTCTACACCATCATTCCCAAAAAGTGGTACACTGGAAAATTTGCTGGTGTATACGACAGTGTTCTTGAGAATCTAGCCACTGAGAGCCGCAAGCTGGCCGTGGATGGAGTCGATGGATTCCATCCAATTTGCCTGGGAATCAAGGCGGATGCCCCTGCATTGGCAAAGGCCGCTCATGCAACCCGGAGCTTTCTGAGCCCTAACTTGTGACTTCAGCAAGCTTTATCATGTGCAATTAGAACAGAACAAAATAACATATGGGCCCCTCGCTGTTGTGATTTCTTCAACATTATGTTCAAGCAAGGAACCTGTCTGAAGTTGTTGGAAAGGGTATCTGCTTTGAATGCTTAGCGGGATTGGATTCGATTCCCTATGAAGATTGCTCACGCAATCCCCAGTGGAAGGCAACCGAGGGTTTGGAAAACCCATGGGATGAAAACGATCCCAGCCCATTGTTGAAAATCCCTTCGAGACAGTTTTCGCCACATCAGTTCTTCCGAAAAGACCCCTTCCACATATACAAGCAAACGATTGGGGGCCACTTTGTGGCCTCCGCGTTGATTCTACTGTGTGACTTGGGGTACTTCATCAGGGCTGGAAAGCCGACGGATGCTTCAACGTTGTTGCAGATTGCCTATGACGACTTTGACTATTTCATGAAATGTGAGTGGACTGGAGGGCATGTGGCCAATCTCAAAAGCTTTACCAAGGCTGTCTTCCACTGGAACAAGCTGCAGTCCTTCCCATACGTTCGCCCAAAAGGTGCTGATGTGATGTTGATCCAAAGGTGGCTTTGCCAGTTGATCCACAAGGGCTTGTTTGATGAGCGGGTCAACAAAAGACAAGAAAGGGATCTGATTGCGAACCCTTTGGACCCATCGCACAGTCCACTCTTGAGGCTGGTACTGAAAGCTGCCATTGCTGGGCTGAACTTCTTCCACGTTCTACACCGGAAAGGCATATGGCATAGTAGGAATGATGCCAGTGCGGTTGCCAATTCAAGTTTTGACTTTTGTGATGCTTATGCACAGCTGGCCAAGCAATGCCACACCATGAAGTTAATGCGCTTTCACCTCACCCCGAGCTTACACTATTTTCACCACTTTGCTATCGATACTTGGGAGAGGTTGTCTCAGGGGGACAGCAACATTTTGTCCCCTAATGTTGACAACTGTGAAATGGATGAAGATTTTGTCGGAAAGATTATACCGCCGGACTGGAAGTTAGAATGGGGGCCCTGGGGGTCAGATTTTTTTCCTCCAAGTTAGAATGGGGGAGTATATTAAGAGAAAAAACGCACAGTTAGAATGGGGTAAGTTAGAATGTCGCCACCTCTAACTTCCAGTCTGGCGTCTAGTAAAAAAATGCAAGTTAGAATATGGACAGGTTCCAAAAAACAATGGAAGAAAGAAAGTACAGCACATCCCGCGCAATCTCACCCCAACCTGGGGACAAAAAAACCATCAGAGGTCCACATCTGAAGTCAAGAAATGTCAAGAAAAAACTGCTCCACCGCTTCGCCTCATGTCAACCCCCTCTAATTTCCAGTGCCGAATTCTCTATATATAAAACCGTGCTGCCACTTTTACCCCTGTGCTTGAAGTCTGCTTTACGAGAGCCATTTGGCTTTCAAGGTTGAGTTGAGTGAGCCATGCGCAGGCTATATATATATGCATATATACAGTATATAAAATGGCAGCGGTGTTCAGGCTTCTGCTTTGCAGGACTCTGACGGCATTCTAACAGGGGTTGACGGCATTCTAACAGGAGTGTTTCGTCCAAAGCGGGGGTTCTAAGTTAGAATGACGGTTTTGAGGAAGATCCTGACTCAAATTGGTAAATCGCCTTACTCCGGAGCGGGGACTCTGACCGTATTCTATCTTCCGGTCCGGCGGTATAGTGTTCTCTCGAGGCATGTGCATGCCTGCAGTGTCACCCTGCGAACCCTAGAGAGATATAAAATCAAGACCTTCTTTAACTTCACAGGCCAAGACTGGGGTTCAGCTAGCAAAGCTAGGAAAAGGCAGAGAAAGAAGTTTGCCAAACGCTCCAAGCGTTGAGAAAAACATGTTGCTCAGTCTCTGTGCTTTGATCAGTGTCTTGAGCTCAGATGGACGGGTGAAGCAGGTGGTCATGCATTGGGGGTTGATTGGAAAGTACTTTTTTTGATGAAGTTACCCCTAAAATGTTGAAGTGTACCTAAATAAAAAGGACATGAAGAGTTACCCCAAAAAAATGAGGCAAGGGAGCCTCAAGGTATATTGTTGTTGTTGTTGTTGCTGTAGGTATAGGTAGAAGGAAGTAGAAAGTGGGAAGCAGGTAGTGGTGGCGCTGGTGCAGGTGCTTGATTTGTTAGGACGACTAAATCCATAAACTTAATGATTCATTACAGTAAAACAAAGCACGTTTTGGACGAGAACTACATGAACTATTGAGGGGGTCGGAATTATTTCATGAACACTTTGTTGTATTCCGTTCCACTTGATTGTTGAGGAATCGGATACAGCATTATTTCCCGATCAGTTGGGGTGGTCGAATAGGGGTCCATGTAGGCATATGCTAGTCCCATGGAGTGTTTGGGCAAGTAACTGGTAGGTAGATTGTAATTAGTTGGGTCTCCTGCCACACATGGCCACACCGCAACTCATTCATATTGTATCTTTGGTTACCTCTCGTCTCTGTCCCTGTCGAATCAACGATTTTCGGAAAAAGTATGCAAGAGTCATGCAAGAGTCTTACACTCCTGCTTGGTATTGGCTTTCCACAAAGTATGGACTTGAGAGGAGGGAGACACGAAGGGTAGGACAGCGGGAAGAGAAGAGAACGCGAGAGACAGGAACAAAAATGCAATGTTCGACATGGTGATTTATCCCCTCGGAGGCGACCTGTCGTAAATATATGTTCATATGCACTCTAAATGTTCAAACATATGCTCGCGAAATGTTCAAAACGATTCTGAGGAAAACAAACTTGCCCCATGGCTCAGATCATCGGTGAGCATTGAATCGGAGCATCATAGGATTTGAACTATCCTGAAACCATAAGAGGCTCACGAAGACGTTCCCCAGGAGAGAATTGACGTGCTTCACAAAACAAACTCTAGGTATGTATCCCCTCGGGGAACACCTTTCGTGATTATGCACTCTTTCTGAATGTTCAAGAGGGTTTCAACTATCCTGAAATCATGAGAGGCTCACGAAGACGTTCTCCAGGAGAGAATTGAATTTAGAGGGGGGGGGTCTGTATTG